CCTCCAGTCTGTCCATGTCCAGAGGCACCGGGATCTCCATCCGGCCGTTTTGCGACAAGCTCCCATCCTCTCCGGTGCATCCAGGTCCATGTCCGGGTCCATGTCCACCACAGAGAGATTCGGGATCTTCTCAAATCCGGCCATCCCAGCCACATTTAACGCAGGCCCTGAGGAATTCCACGTAGTGGCTTCGTCCACGAGACCTGCTGCAAGCTGCTCTCATGCAACCATCGACATCCATCTCCCTCAGCTTGCGCTGCCTGCCCACGTACGACTTGTAGCCGCACTCCCTGCATTCCCAGATCATGTTCTTCTTCTTAGCTGACATGCTTCTCTAAACTCTCTAAATTTATCCAAATATGTGAGACCACAAAATGAAAATGCACAAACATAACTATATATAGACTGGCAGCTGTTGGAATTTCGTCCCAGAAACTTGTTGGCAGGTATCCGTTGTAATCCGGGGGGTCCTTCACGTTCACTTGGCCTCTCATGCACAAGTGGTGGTTGTCATCATTATCATCTGGCCAATGATTTGCTCCTCCATGTAATCGTCGTCCTGGCCGTAGGCGCCGTGGCCCTTGCCTCCCGGCCCTGGTCCTGGTGGTTTAAGGTTTAGGGGTTTGGGTTGTATATAGGGGTTTGGGGGTTTGAGGTGTGAGGTTTAGGGCTTTATAGGGTTTACCTAGACCCCACAAGTCATCTACCTTCTCACAAAAAAGAGGACCTATGTATATAAGAAATCATAATCAGGACCCCTATATATATATATATATAAAGACGTAGGTTCTTTGGGGTCCAGGTCCTGGTCCATAGTTGCTGTAGCCGCCCTTGCCATAGTCGACGTGGCCCTTGCCTCCCGGTCCTGGTCCATATCCTCCTCCGTAGCCTGCTCCACATCCTGGTCCATATCCTGGTCCATATCCTGGACCGTATCCCTGAGGTGCAGGTGGGGGTCCATATCCAGGACCCATACCACGTGAATGAAAGGGTCCATAGACAGCGTCATGTGGTCCGTAGCCCGAGCTTGATGCCGGACCCATAGGTGGCCGAGTCCCCATGTAAGGCATCGGGTGCAAGTTCCTTACATGGCGAGCAAAACAAAATAGTATATAATAGCAGGAGTTTAAATTGACACACACACACATATATATATATATCCTGCAGAACTACACAAAAGTGAAGAAGTTTCTCAGACACGGCACGGATGTTCTGGTGGATTCCAGGCCATTCCCCACTGCGGCTGCCAATCCTGCTGCTGCCTTCTCGTCCCCTCCCATCCTTTATTCCCCTTTGGCCAGTCCTGGCGTTTTCCTTTGGCCTGCTGCTCGCGGTGTTTTCCTTTTCCCTTGTCCTTGCCGTCATATCCATATGAGTCACGGCCTTTGTAGTCCTTCCAAGGATCATCATTTTTGCCTTTCTTGGAGAAATCAATCCACTCTCCTTCCTCGTGCTGCTGCTGCTGCTGCCCCTGCTGCTTGCGATTGGAGAAATCATACCATTTTTCTTCCGTGGGCTGCTGCTGCTGCTCCTGCTGCTGCCCCTGTTGCTGCCCCTGGTGCTCCTGGTGCTGCTCCACCTTCATTTGCTGAGCCTCTTGCTGCTGGGGAGTCTTCTCAGGCGGCTCCTCCGTTGCTGTTTCTTCGCTCTGTTCAGCCCACGAAGCTCTTTGGGCCGGAGGATCATTGTCCGCCCCCATCCAGCCCAGTGTGCTGCCGTCGTCGGGCCCTGTGCGGACACGAGCATCGCGGACACCAAAAACTCAAACTATGACTATATAGTGTTTATCCCGGTCCTTGAGCGGCAGAATCGTCTGCCATTGGAGTTGGCTCAACAACTTCTTGCCAGTTTCCTGGCAAAGTCAAAAAAGGCGTTTATAAGTATATATATATGTATATATACATATATATATGTGTGTGTCTGTCTGTAACTTTTCTAGATCTACTGCAGACTACTATACACACACACACACCCCATGGTCCTGGTGGCGGGTCAGGGGAATAATCAACTTCGTCCTTTATCACAGGCTTCTCGGCAGCCACACCATCCGAGGAG